TCATATCCATTCAGCTATATTCAAATATACAATCCTCCAATGAATAACTGAACATTCGCACTGAACACATTGAATGAACAACGAATAATAACCCACATAATCCCTTAATAAATATATTGAAAAATCAAACTTTCCGCTCAAAACTCCAATATTTTCACAAATTTTCAACCAATACAATGCCACTTCACATGCCAAACACTGCCTGCTCATCTACCCAATCCAAAACGTTCGCAATTCACAAAAACGATCAACGAATTCAATAAAACGCAATTACTACTGCTATCATTACATAGTATCGTTACCATCCTCATGTTCCTCGGCAAATCATTTAATTCATTAAATCAACATTTACATCACTATCTAATAAAACCATCTTCTCCTCAACAAAACCATGAAAACAACAGTTAAAAAGCAAAACTCTAGAATCGCACCTGCTCCATTCACGTCACCAATCCTCGCGATACCACTATCCCAGAACGCCTCGAAATACTTCTTTCGATCGCTTGAGCCACACTTTCGTATCCTTTCGGGCATACACAGATTATATTCACATATTGCTTGTAGTGTTGCCACTCCCTCAAACACACTGATTTATTCTCATTAAATCAACTACTCTAACTACAATAATCACTTTCAAACTCTTCACTGCCACTTTTAAGCGAATAAATAAACATCTTCAATTATATTCATATTACAGCCAAAACTAAACAACTTCTGAATTTCAATTATACAATTCCTTAAACAAAACAAATCTCATCATCCTTTAAATCTGAACAAAACTAAAATCTCGTTTCATTTCAATATGAAACAATCAATGTCCCTTTTCTAATTTCAATTCCTCACGTAGTTCATTCGCTTGTTTCAAATTCCTTATTCCATCTAAAATCATCTCGGCACTAACCTTCTCCGTATAACCAGTCTGCATCAATAACTTCACTCGTCTTCTCAGAACCTCCGCACAAAATCGTTCTATTTCCGCTCGTTCCGCTGGTGTCCTCACCTTCACTTTCGACATACATTCTCGCATCTTCGCCAACTTAATCAAGTCCATTTAAATTCAAATTTCGTACAACCGCTCACTCATATTCACCTTCTCCAGACCCATTTCTATTCCCCAATAAAAAACTTCTAAACTTCCTATTCAACTAGCCACTCACCTGTTCATTCGGTTTATATCGATTGTCCATCCGCATAAAGTCCAACAATCC